AAAAATACTCTTGATTCAATCGGATTTTTGCTTAAATCAAGAACCAAGCCTCTTAATTTGAGCGGATTTCCTTTTGATTTAAGCAAAAATCTGATTGAATCAAGAGTATTTTTTCTTGTCAATGTTTTCAAGAGTCTGGACTCTAGATCCAATGTGTTTTTTTTCCAGTGAAAGTAATTCGTTCAAACTGTGACATACTTATCTTATTTATCTCATTTATCCATTCCACTTCAAGGCATATTTTTCCTGACTCAATCACAAATGGGCAACATTTTGCAAAAAGGACTATCATTTCTGATTCACTCATAAAAGCATCTATGTGCATGGGTAAACTAATACTACCGTACTGAGCAAAATCGTCGTACAAGCCTTTAGATGTTGCTATATTTCCTCTGCTGAGATACGCGTTTTCAGGAAAATCTGAGAATACTTTTCCTCTAATTTTTCGGAGGATTTTATTCGCAGTCAGATCTGAATTATCTGAAAATTTCAAGAGAATACATTCATAACTCTCCCCGAAAATGAACATTTTATGAGAGGAAATTTCACAACTCTCGGGTATTCATACGGCGATTTCCTTGGCACGGCAGGATAGCGCATTCGTTGTTTCTAAAATGAGCTGGAAACTGGAGTTCCTTATCTCAAAATGTTGCCCAAATATGACAGGAAATTAGCAACGTCGCAAACCGAAATGCATGCTTCTCTGTTTTCAACATCGGTTTTCTCGTTCGAATCTCCCGCCGCGAATCAGCGTTGCAATAAGGGTTGATCAACCCGCCGTCCGCGTCAAAATCCCACCCTCCGCGCGGAATCCCCCCTCCCCTCTCCCGCTCGGATGAGCCGGGAGTTGACGCCCTTGTGACCCAATTTCCGGGTGGTGCAGCGTAAGGGGTTCCAGGAAGAGCGTAACATCGCCGAGTCCTGTAAACCCGGTTGTCGCGTCACGGAAAAGAGACGTAAGTGCATTTCTGCATGAGCCATGGTTAGCATGTGTTCTTGTGTGTCTCGAGGCTCATCTTAGGATGCACTTAAGACTCTTTTCCGTAACAAGGCAGCCGGGTTCTTACAGTGCGCGCGCCCCCTCCGTTTTAGTGCGGGGTTTTCCCCCGCAGAGAGCGCCACTTCTCAGGCTTTCCGTTTGGTCATCAAAAATGTAAGATGGGATGACGGATATCATGACTTTTAAATCGGAGATACTTCACATAAAATATTTCAAAAAAGTATGTATACAATTTATTTTTGTGTTGCAGGATCATTTTTTTTTAATTTATTTATTTATTTATTTTTTTTTTTTCTTTCTTTATGTTCTTTACTCATTTTTCAAATGGAGAAAAAAACATGGGAAGTCGGATATTAAATTGTCGTTTCCCGGACGAAGGAACGTAACTCTGTTCCAACGTTGCGAAATTGACTGAAAAAATTCAATTATTTACAAAAATTTACAAGTGCAATTTTCTTCCAAAATGTGTCTGATTTTTGCATGAGGTCAGAGGAAGAATCAGAAGAATTTTCAGTTAGAAATGCTCAAGATACTCAAAGTAAAGATGCAGTTTGTGAGGAGCAATTTGGCAACATTGAAATATAGTTACGTTCTTTCATGAGGGAAACGAAGAAATGGTTAAATAACTGAAATTGGCATGACTACAAATCCTGTTACCTAATTTTCTTCAGTATTTCATTTCTTAGACAAAAAACTGAACAACAAGAAACCTCAGATTTATTGGCAGAGTTCTCCTTGATTACGATAAAAAGAAAGAGAAAATACTCTCAAACTTTTACGTTAAAATTTTGCTTCGTTTCCGGTGAAAAGAAATAGAATACGAGCGAAAATTAATTCGGAGGGATCAGTAAATATTGAAGTAATAAGGTGGATTTGCAGCTCTCACCATTAGTAGAAAATGTGACAGAAAAATGCTTAAATACCATTGGTATCTTATGAATTTGATTTTCCTGATCGAAATATTAAAGACAGTAAGCTACTCAAAATCTCTCTAAAAATAAAACAGCATTGTGGTCGACCTAAGAAATGACATTTTAGTTCCCTACGCCTTAGATGAGTAATATTCACTAATCAGAGTCGGCTATAGTGTCTGATTTTATCTTAGGATGTATGAAAAAATTTTCAAGGAAAGGAAAATAAATTAGCACATTTTCTTTTGTCTATTTTCATCAATTTATACCCCAGGACACAGAATTTTGAAAATTTGTATCAATCTGAATGATTGTACTCTTTAACAAGCATGAAAAAACTCCCAGCAAGCCCCCGAGACGATTGCCAATGAGACCTTCCCACACTCGACAGACTGCATGGAGGAAGCCACAGTTATGATTGCAAAAGCAATGTCCAGTATGTATTTAGGTGTCAGTGCCCATGGAAGAAAAAATCCAGTTACTTATTCAAGGTGCTGAATCATTCATAAAGTTTAGAAGGGTTCAATTTTTTTCTGCAGAACCGTTATTATGGATAAAATACTCAAAAGGTAAACATCAGTAATTGATCATGCTACCCATCACCATGAAATATTAAGTTATACCAAGCAGAAAATATATAGATTTGGAATTCACAAGAAAGACACTGACAATGGGCCGCTAGACAAGATACGAATCAAAGAACTAAGCAACATGATTTTTCTTCAGAATTTCCCAAGGAAAACGAATCACACGACGGAAAGTTTGAAAATCAACTCCTACACAAGATATAGCTGTTTACAATTATTAACATCAGTTAATTGGCAGAAATACCATTTGATCTGTGTTAAAAAATATGTACTTGTTAATATCCCTTCAGGAGTTAGTTGCCAAACTTCCTTTTGTGTGAATCATTTTCCACAAGAGATTTTGAAGAAGATATATGGCATTTTCCTCAAGTTTAGATCTTGTATAGCGCCCATTTATCTAACTATTCTACCAAAACGTTTTTGTCAGAAGGGCTAAAAAAGATAGAGAAGTTGAGGGTCACTTTAAAGAAATCTGTTTGTCGGCTGTAATGAACCACACAGCAAGGTAAGAATTAAGCCACTTAAGACTTGTTTCCTCATCAAAATTTTTCACGGAACACGTAGAAAATACCTGTTGGAAATTTCAAAAATTAACTGAGAGGTAAGAAATTTAAGTTTGCAGTTTCGATCGTAAAAACTGATTTTAATCTTCAGGCTCGTGAAAAATCGCTATCAATGTAGGTTAAATTAGTCATTGAAAACAATCCACACATCAAGCAGATAGCTAAATTTTGGTTTCAGACACATTTTTCTCCTTTTCTGATACATGGCATCTCTAACCTTGTTGAAAACAAAACAAATGTCAGTATACAGGAAAATTCTTCCATCATAATAAAAACCAAAATTAGTTAAGAATTTGATTTCACTACAGTAGACTCTAGTTTTTTAAGAACAAGAGGTGTGAATTGACGTGAAAAGAGAAACATTATTTTCTTAATTAGGAGTTGGATTTGGAATTTTTTTATGCATTTACTGTGTTCGACATCAATATCAATGAAGGAACAAATTTTGTGGTGCCTAAATTGCTCTAGCTATTATTGTAGTTCACAGCAAACGCTGCCAGCCATGATTGATAAATAAGATACGCGTCGCTGGTTTTTCTTTTTTAAAAAACAACATTTTTAATAACAAAACTTGGAGCAGAAAAAAAAATATTTTACATAATGTACAGTAACACAGAGAAAAAAATAATAAGAGCAGAAGATATTTCTACAAAAGTGCCTCTCCCACATTTTTCAATTTGAACCTCCTGTAATGGAAGAAAAAAAAAGAGACAATTAATTCTCTGCCTTCGAAGAAACTATGATGCAGAAATTCTGTTTTAAACTTCACATTTCAGAGGAGGTCTAAGGAATTTTCACCAGAATATAAACTTTTCTCCAGAGCGTACAGAAATTTGTATTGTGGCTTCAAAATTGTCATTTATTAAACTATATTTTAGATTAAGGAACAGATTCTACTGGCTAAATAAAAATGAAAATAACTACAAATTGCTTAGTTCACAGTGATGAGAAAAATTCCTTGGACCAGCCCTGTTTTATCCAAAGTCAGAAATTCATTTTAATGGAGGGAACGCGGCATATTGAAATGCATCGGCACTCTCATTTACAGCCTGTGAATTTGCATTTTGAATCTAATTTTCAATTATTTTCCTTTCATAATTTATCAGCTCATAGTTTTTTTAACCGTTTCTTATCTTTAGTTTCACATTCTTTTGCAATTTGATGGTTTTGTGGCGGAGTGCAGTGGGCTTTAAGAACCATGAAAATGGTTGAAAATGACCAACAGTTTAGGAAGACAGAAACATTTAGGATAAGAAAACGATCCCATCACCAAAAATCATTTTGGAAAATCACTCACCTCAGGATGTTCATTGTAGCACCCTGCTAACCTCCTTCGCGGTAAAGAATTGAGGTACAGCTTATTGCAGCTAAGTATCGTTTCATTATACTCAACTTTCTTCACTTGAGCACTTAGCGGACGGTAGCAACTTTGGTGTAAAGTGTTTACTACAATCAACAATAAA